TGGATCGCATCTGCGATCTCCTTTACGAGCACTCGCCCATGGTCCCGCCCTTGCTATCTGCCGGGCCTTCGGGAAGCGAGGCTGACATTCCCACTTTCGCCTAACTAGACAGACATACACGATGCCAGAGAGTAGGTGGCGATTTAACTGGTCAGGGTCCAGCACATTTTCCACGCTGCCCCGGTGGGCGCGTGAATGGACGCGTGCTGGGACGCGTGCTCACGCGCTTGGAGGAGGAAGCAGGCGGCACTGACGGGAGCTTTCCTTCGGGAAGCGAGGCTGACATTCCCACTTTCGCCTAACTAGACAGACATACACGATGCCAGAGAGTAGGTGGCGATTTAACTGGTCAGGGTCCAGCACATTTTCCACGCTGCCCCGGTGGGCGCGTGAATGGACGCGTGCTCAAGCAGGCGGCACTGACGGGAGCTTCTCGGAAGCCCTGTCTGTGGCACGGGGAGGGTGTGACGCTGCGGGCCGGAATGGCGGAGCGTGCTTTAAATGCCACTCTCGCATCAGGCTGGACGTCGGGGATGACGTCAGAGAACTGAGAACCGGCGCGTCGGAATTCCCCGTGCATCCGGGCTGCAAAGGCCTTGGGTCCTTCTGCCATCCGCTGCCTCCCAGACGCCATCTGCCACTTCCGGGAGCTGCTTCAGAGGCACCGTGCAGGGTGTCTCTTGGTGTCACGTTGGAGCACGGGGACGCTCGTCCTGACCCCCTCCGGCTCTCTTTACAGCTTCCTCCTCGCCCGTCCTCCCAGCTGGCCAGAGGCGGGGGCAGCGCCAGGTTCCACGGCTGAGCTGGGACGCCCGCGTCCGACGTCGGGACACCGCGCTGAGCACCGTGAACCCACAAAAGGCGGCACAGGAACCCATGAGAGGTCACGGCGATCCAGACCGCAGCCACTCGTGAGGTTGTCACTGTGACACATGAGAAGTGAACCGCCTCTTTGGAAAGGGGTGTCACAGAAGAGACGTTCTAAGCAGGTGACAGTAGCTGTGCTTTGCACCCAGATAATGAGCCAGAATCTTCTAAGACTTCTTCAAATCTTTGCATTAGGTCATCCTTGCTTGATCTCATTATCATGTTATTCCACAAAGTGTGTCCACGAAGCTTGGGCCACTTCCTTGCTGGAAGACTTTCCACACTTAACGGACAAACTTGAGGTGAACTTCGATGAGCGTGACTCTTACAGCATCCGTACAGGTCATTAACACATACTGACCGATTTGAGCGAAACCAGATTTTGACAAGGTCTCCCTAACCTCCTCGTTCTCCCCAGCAGGTGTAGTAAGGAGCTGACTCTCTGCAAACATCGAAGGAGCTCAAGTGCCTTACAGAAAAGTCTGGTTTCCATGACGTTTTTCTTTTCAGCCTAAATATGTAGCTCCCTGACAATGTGTCCTCTCCAAGGACACAACGCTGAATTAAATATTCCAGCTCCTCTTCAGTCTGTGCTCAGTCATTAACTCACTCAGGTTTTCTCATGTGTCCAGAGTACACTAATTTCTTCGTCGAGTGCTGCCAATGAAATATAAGAAGGACCTGTTTTCTGTTCTCCATTCCACTACTAGAGAAAGACTTGCTAACAAATGTGCTGTGAGTCATGATAAACGGGTCTGCACGGTGCCCTAAGACACAGTTAAAAACTCATCATCCCAGTTAGCACTGGATTCTACCAGCACACGCAACCATCCCTGAGGATACGTCAAGTGGGAAGATAGGTTCTGGAAACTGCTCTCTCCAGTGATGAGACAGAAGGTGACTCTGTGCTGCGAGGCCGTCCGTCAGGACATATTCGTTTCAGTATTTCTATTCTAAAGAGTTCTTCCCAGAAAAATTAATAAATTCTGTCAGCTTAAGAACCTGAAAAGGCACCTGCTTACGCACACGACGTTCCCCACGGCTGCCCAGCAACCCCCAAAAGCCCAGGGCAGACCCCGGCTTCCCTCCTGTTAGCAGGGAAACGGCCTCCGCAGCCCCACACCATCGTCAGCAGGGGACTACACAATTTGCCATGCAAAGTGCTCCGCTGAGTGACAGGGCTGGGCTCATCGGATGGGACGGCAGGCAACAGGTGTCAATGGAAGGGTGCTGTGTACCTATGTGGTCCCCCCAGTGATCAGGAAGAAGCTTGCTGGTTCAAGTCAGTGATTTCTGCCCCCGACTACACACTGGGAGCACACACACACACACATACACGTGCAAGCGTACACACAACACCTATATGGACACGCGCACATATACCTGTACATATACAGGTTCGCACACCTACGCTTACACTTAGGGCCCAAGCCGTACTCTAGACCAGTTAAACACAATTCCTGAAAGCCGAGATAGACGAGTCGATAAAGCAGCAGCAGCACATGCATACGACGGACTCTTACTCGGCCATGATTAAAAAAATAAAAACCTTACCATTTGCAATAACATGAGGGACGCAGAGGGTACTACGCTAAGTGAGATAAGTCGGACAGGGAGAAATGATTACCGTGCAATTTCACTTAGATGTGGAACCTAAAAATCAAAATGAACGAACGAAATGGAAACGAAGTCCAAGGCACAGAGAAGCGACGGCTGCGGATGGCAGTGCGCGTGGGGACTGTGTGGACGGAGAGGTGAAGCAGCACAAGGTGGCACTACGGACAGTCACGGGCCGTACGGCGCAGCGCAGCGCACGGAGTCAGGAACACGGTCGCGAGTGCGTGGGGCGGCACCGCGCAGACGCTTCATCACCGTGCTGAGCGCCGGACACACGGAACACTGAACGTCGACTCGAACGGAAAAAATTCAAATCTTAAAAATACAAAACAATTTTTGAAACAAGCTGGCCGGGCCTGGGAGGGAGTCCAAAGGCAGGTGGCAGAGTGGAGCACCCCGAGGCTCTTCCTGCTCAGGGCTCCCCCGCCCCCTCCACAGCTGCCAGGCCCCACTGCGCTGTGGAGACTCCTGGCCAAAACCAACAGCCCAAAGCACCCCGCACATTTCAAACGACCCTGACCAGGACGGGGGGGCTGTACCCTACTCAACCGGGAACAACGAAAAAGATAAAATGTGAGGAAATGTTTTTTTTTCAGAATTTGATTATTTTATGATTTTCTAAGACTTCTATATCTGGAAAGTTCCATGGCTTTATATGACTGACTAGTCCGTCGCTCTAATGAGGGCCAACAACATGAGGCTTAAGAAAAAAGTGGTTGTGAATCATGTTCTATTCATGTCATCTTTGTTTTGCAAATTAAATTTATGCCACATTAGCTCAGAGATATGAATATTTTAATAATGCCAGATCTATAAATTGCAAGAAAAATGAATTAGTATTCTAAAATCTATTCAGTTCCAAGGAACTGAATTTCTCGAGGATATCTTTTTCATCTACAAAGAGAAAAAGTATTCTACATTACTGCCTTTCCATTTTAACCATTTAATTTCATTCTCATTTTAACCATTCATATTTTTCAACATATTTAAAAAACTTGAAAATAATGAGAACCTTCATGAAATGGTAAACTTTTAAAGTCTGAGTTTGATCCAGTAACTTAGATGTTTTTGACATTAATATTACGGTGGTTAACGAGAATTACAGATACTCCGTGACAAACAGGATTTGATGCTTTTTGCATATATTAACTCATTTGGGGTCAGAAACATTTAAAATTTTAAGTATAATCGCTATCGTCTCGTGTAGATTAAGAAGCGTTTTATAATTATTTTGATCTGGTCAACGAAACGTTGTTACCGTTACCATGGTTCATATGGTTACAGTCACAGCGGCAGGTGAGCAGCGTTTGGTACGTGAGCCTAGGACTCCACGCTGCCTATGCGTCCCAGCCCCTGGATCTCTCGCACATTCTGCAATTTACATGCCGTTGTCACGTCACGCACAGATTAAGGCACGGAGGAACGGAAAGTTCAGTGACCGTCCCAAGGTCACACAGCCGTGAGTAGCAGAGGCCGGGTCTGAACCAGACTCTGCCCGAAGCAGGAAAAACAAAGGCTGCCTCGCCCCAAGTCACATCGCTCACATTTGCGGCTGCGAGTTTGTGTCACTACGTGATGTATCTACACGTGCAGACGGAGGAATTCTAAACGGAGCCGAGTTGACGGAAGCAGATGTGCCTGCATTCTAAGGTCACATGCACACAGTGCTCGCCCCAGCGCTCACCCCGCACACTCGGTGGTCGCACGTGCCCGGTGGCCCGGCCTCTGCTGTTCCTGTTCAAAGGAGCCTCACAGCGCCGAAGGCCTCCTGGAAGCGGGGCAGCGACCGAGCAAGCCCCGAGAGAAAACCGCCACACGATTCGACACGCAAGCGCTGCCCCGCTGCACAGCCCCATCCCAACGGTCCCCACTCTGCCGCCAGATTTCTGAGAATTCAGGCCGTAACAGGAGATCTCAAAATCACAGCTGTCCTTTACATGTCGGCCTGCATCCTTTCAAAATTTCACTGACTGCTATTTCAGAGTTCGGACCCATTTTACTTGCTTTATTGGTAGTTTTCCAGGCAGGGAATGCATCTGTATAGTTTGGGATATTAAGTGATGTTGTCACAGAAATTCAAAGATGCCGTAAAGAATGTTCTGGAAAGTCTGCGTGGTGTATTTGCTCCTGGTTTTAACATAAACTGTGGTTCGTGAGTGGACACCCACCGCATGGCGACCGTGGTCTCCTCCCAGAGCAGAGGTGCTGGGAACACATCGGGGCTCACTTCCTGGCACACGCAATGCTCTGGGGAGAGGGGCACCGTCATCACTGTCACTGCCGTCAAAAGCAAAGACTCATTTAACGACGACCTCTCGGACCCTATTGCATGGCTGGTAAGACCCTTCCCACGACTGTGAGTGCCCCAGGCTCCCGCTGAGGGACCTGTCACATGACCACATTCGTGACACGTTCGTGAGCCGGTGAGCAGGAGTCTCATACCATCACTAGCTCCTCAGAGAGCCCACGTCACAGCACTGCCGTCAAAAGCAAAGACTCATTTAACGACGACCTCTCGGACCCTATTGCATGGCTGGTAAGACCCTTCCCACGACTGCGAGTGTCCCAGGCTCCCGCTGAGGGACCTGTCACATGAACACATTCGTGACACGTTCGTGAGCCGGTGAGCAGGAGTCTCATACCATCACTAACTCCTCAGAGAGCCCACGTCACAGAAAAATAAAAATGCCGGACAACGATTGCTCACTCACGCCGAACGACATGTGTGCCAAACAACGTTTACTGGTCATCTCAACGTATCTCACGTTGCAGCTAACTTTCTGATGCACCAGAGATCACAGCTCTGTTCTTATCTGTTTGGGGGAATATTCCGCGGATGAATATGTATTATGTAGTTTCCTGTACAACTAAAGGGCTAAATAAAAATTTGTCCCATATAGAGAGCGTACCTGCATTTGCTGCTTGCGTTGAATTCGACGAATGTTTCCCGGCTGTAGCGGACGTGCTGGTTTGGGCTGCCACACTCCCTCCCAGGCCACGGCCGGCTGACTGCATCTGCACTGGGCAGGGCTTCCGTTCATTTCCACACTGGCCCATCCCGTCCTGGCCTCACGTCACTGTATCTCTTTACTGTTCACAAGGAACCTTCTGAGGACTTGCATATGATAAAAAAAAAGAAAAGAAAAAGAAAAAAAAAGGTGAGCAGTGAAAGCTGAACTTCTCTGGTGATAAACCATGAGAGCGGCAGGGCTGCCACCGGCCTCCTGGGCATGTCCTCCCCGCAGAATGAAGCTAAGAGAAAAACAGCAAGTGGCACCCCTCGCGTGCCAGGTGCAGCCACATGTGCAGAGAGCCCGACCTCGCTCTACGCCACTGCATTATTTGACTTAGCCATTTCCCTTTTGCTTAAGCCAGGCGGACACCCGAAACGGGAGCCCAAAGATTCCCGACCTTTATAAACATTCACTGTGCTTGAGCTGCCTTCTAGGTGCCATGAACACCAAGAAGCACAGCACAGTCCCTGCTCCAAAGGGACTCCATCCCAGTCGAGACCAGAGAGCCTAAATGCCACTGCCTCGTGCTTGAGAAGAAACAGGGCGTGGCTCCTACTGACAGAGGCGATGGAATGTATTCCCAGAGGGTATACGGACGGACGCAGTGGAGCCTGACTTAGGCCTTGAACATTTACGCAGAGTTAGTGGGACAGGAAAATGTACAAAGACATCCCAGCGGGAACAATAGTGAGCTAGAAATGGATAGTTTATCTTAAGATGAAAGAAAAATTCTAATGCCTACTCCAGTCCAGTCCTTGTCATACCTTAGACACGAAATAAAGTTTATTTACAGGGTGAGCAAAACCATGAAGGCAAATGACCGGATGTATAACCTGGAGCTGAGACCTGGGTCAGTGAAACGATCCCCTTTCGCATCTTCGCTTCTAATGGAAATTACTTCTTCTTACAATAACCTTCTTTATGACAGGGCTTCCAGGAACAGCAGTGATCAAGAAGAGTTATTGCTGTCACTGATAAATGCAGAAAGGGTAGTTTTAATTGCCGAGTTCCCATGTTTTTCTTTTCCAGATGTGAGCAAGTTCTCTAAATGTTAAAAATAAACAAATTTATATGTCCCATTTATGAGGGACTGTCGTCACTTCTGAGGAACATCATGAACATTTAAATTCGTGAACATTATAATTCTGACCAGAGGAAGACTTGAAAGAGAACGAGGCTCTGACACGCATCGTGCCGGACCCTGCGGCACTGGGCACGCAGTGAAGCCCGAACCTTTCGTGAATTCGTTTCTGGACCAGTGTAAGGAAGGAGCTTCTGAGTACAGGCTTCTAAATTAACGAGCCCTGGGCTGACAACCTCCGCCTCTGTGTGCAAGTCAGAAAATCACGTTAACTCTAAATTCGATTTACCGTAGCTCCCGACCTCTCTCACTGCCGTGACAGTCGTGTGAGACAACGCGTATTAAGAATTGGCGTCTAAAGGGCAGTCAAGACGTTCGGTAATTATTAGTAAGACTCCGGTGAAAGGGAGTAGATGCAAAAACAAAACAGACCGAAATCTTTGTTTTGTCTCTTTGAAATTAGGTGATTAGAAAATTGGATGTTTCAGCAATTAGGGTGTTTCTTACCAGCATCAGTAGTGATTAGCTCCCGTACTCCAAATTAGAGTATTTTGCTGAATTTCATGAAGCATCGGGCACCAAAGCTGACATTCTGTTTAGCAGTCAACAATATCACTGATTTGCCACTGATGTTATTTTCCCAATAATCCTCTCCACCGTAAAGAAACTGTTAGAAGGATGACAAGGGCTATTTCCTATCATATGCGTTAACTGTGGTCCGTGCCTAGGTCAAGGACATATCTGTTTTGCAACCAACTACACGGGCGGAGAACAGAGACTATGTTTTTGGGGGACTTTACCACCACCTCAGAACACCACCGCCACGCTACCAAAGATCTGAACTCCTTTTTTATTGACATTTTTGGAGTATGAAAGTTTTGAAAGCTTAGCTGCTCTATCTTACAATTGAATACACTATCAATTGCAATCGTTCTTCCAGCATATTTCTAAAACACATGCAATGGGAAAAACGTGCTAGTAAGAACTGCTTTGCTTGTGAGATGTAAAAACTCAGTTCTAAGTGGCTGAAGGAAACAGAAAGGGTAGGTGCAGCGGGGTGTCGGGGACTGTCACAGTTACATGCACAGGCTGCAGAAATGCCAGCCCACCTAAGCACCTCTCCTTCTCAGCCCAGACTCCCTCCAAGAGGCCTCTTCTTTCCCTGCACGTGGTGGCATTCACGGATGGCGGCTTCTGCTCTGTCAGCCTTAGACACAGCAGTCAGTGGGAAGGGATGCGGCCTCGTTCTGTGGGTTCAGATGAGATGCTCTACTCCATGACTGCAAAAGCGCCTTTCTCTGAATACTGTGCTGCTCTCAAAACAAGGGACTGCTTCAACTACGCACAGAGGCCATGCCAACACGAGTGACTACCTGACACCCCGTGGAAAGGGCTCTGCTGTGTGCTCCAGAAATCCAAGCGCCTGCCCCTAGTCCTTACAGGTCAGCAGGATCACCAGACGAGGTTCTGGGAGGAGGCGACAAGATGAAGAGTTAGCGGCAGGACGGCAGATGAGGGTGTTTCAGGGGCGATGCCAGCATGAGCCCACAGAGGTACTAACGCGTGTCAAGATGCCAAGACTGTAAACTAAGAGCAGCAGCTGGAAAGCAGACTGGAAGAGGAGAGGTGGGGCTTAGGTCCTGTCCCCGGGCAGAGGCGTGACAAGCTCCTGGACCTGTACCTTTCTCCCTCCCTCCGTAGCATGTGATACAGCCGTGTGGGAGGAGGCCGGGCGTGGGGGAAGGAGCTGTCAGGCTCAGGAACTTTGATTGTGTGCCAGGTGCTCGTTAGGGGACTCCCAGAGCTCAGGGTTCCGTGCTCTGTCCTCAGCGTGCACACCCAGAGCAGCTGTGTGTGGCCTTGTGCCAGCGCCAGCATCAGACGGTGCCTCTGGAGTCACACATCAGATGGCTACCTGCCCGCCAGACTCTACATCCCTGATGAAGAGGAACTGAATTCTTCTCCATCTTGTATGCCCTGTGCCAGCAGACTTTGCTCGGCAATGCATATCTAATAAATGTTTGATAAATGGCTAAATAAACCAGCTCAAAACGAAATTACTAAGAAAACCAAAGAAGCAAAAGCAAGCAAATGAATTACTGAAAAATGTTCTTATAGAGCAATTAAATTACTATATACTCACATCACATGAGTAATTGACTGAAATCCAACATGCAAAACAAGTATTTGTTGATCACGCACTGTGCCAAGTATAATGCTTGGCACTGAGATTACAAAGACAAACATGAACTTGATGTTCTTCCTTACCTTAGGGAGCTGAACTTAATTAGTTGTAACAAAATATGATACGGCGTAGAAGTGAGAAACAAGGAGACAGGGTTTGAAAGCGTATGGAACTCTTTAAACACTTTTCCCATGAGACTTAAATTCAATAGCGTCTGACTCACCAGTGAGTGTGGCAATAGCAGGTGCTCTTGTCTCTCCTTTAAGCGAAGAATCCCATAATCGTGGTGTTCCCTCAGACTGCCCCGTGACACATTTTCCCGCATCTTCTGAATCAGTCCACCCAACTGCCAAATGCAGGAGGCCCCAGTAGCTCTATGGCCACCACTGCTGATTCTGGCTCTGCGGACTTGTCTCTCCTTAAACTTTCGATGTCACCACATCACTTTAAACCAGATCACCCCTCGAGTTAGACCAAAGCGTCAAACTTTAGTACACAAAGCAGCCCGTGGGGATTCTGTTTAAAAAAAAAAAAAGCAGATTCTGCTTCAGGAGATCCGATGTGAAGCCTGGGATTCCTTCTTCCCAAGACGCTTCCTGGAGCGTGCCCTCGTGGGCAGACTACAGTCTAGCAGAGCTGGAGGGAAGTGGAAGGTGAAGGCTCAGAGAGTTTGTCCTGCTGTCTCCCTGATGTACACCTCACCTCCCCTGCACTGACGTCTAGGGGTAGTAAAGGATTCAGGGTAACTAGGTGTGCGATGCTTAGGCAACAGGATGTCTTCAGGATCAGCGGTCTTGCAGGCTATTTCTAGGAACTAGAAACAAAGCCTCTCCCTCAGCCTTCGCAACCATGGCTCCCGCTTACAGTGTTGTGGGGCAGAGGCCAGGCGCCTGGCATTCCAAAAGGGGGAGAAAGAAAAAGACCAGAGTAAAGGCCACTGGGGAGTGAACCCCCTCGTTTTGCTTAAGGCAGAGCCAGTCCGGCTTTTTTTTCAGATTCTCCTTCTATAGCTTCGGTGAGAAATCAATCTGTCCTTTAAAAGAAGAACCTGGAGACTCTTCAACCAGGAAATCTGAGATCCCTTCAGGCTTGGTTATTAGGATTAAACAGGGAAGACATTGTTTTTGGAAAGATTTGTCAGGGTTTTCAATTTGGGTGGGGATGTCAGCCGGCGTGGCCCTCATTTAAAGCAGCTTCTAAAGTCCGTCCAGAGCCAGGGGCGCCGCCAGACGAAACAATGGCTGAGTTTAGGGCACGCTATGCAGCAGGAGCTGTGCAATTTTGGAAGACTGGGAGTTTTGGCAGCTGAGTCACCTGGGAAGTTCAGAAAGGTTATGCAACCTGCCCAACGTCACAAAGCCTAAGGCTGACTGAGGGCACGAACGATGCCCAAGGCCCCAGTCTGGCCTTTCCAATAACGCGTAGATGAAAGCCATAAATAGGCCCTGCCAAACTGGGTGGCATTCGGGCCCGGGGCCCGCCCTCCGAAACAGCTGCACCGCCCCGAGGGTGGGGAAAGAGAACCACATCCGGGATACAGACGCGGACAGGGCCAAGCACTTCCGGTGCGCCGAGCTGAGGGTCGTTCAGGGTCAGTGGGCTCGCCGGTGAGGGCCAGCCCGTAGATGGTGCTAAACGGCGCACAGGGACCAGGTGTCCGAAGACAGCACGACTGCAGACTAGAAAGTCCTGCCCCTTACCCGCACTCAGGGAAGCGCGCGCCAAGCGGCAGAGTGCGCGCCGCCATGATGAGTCCAGCGTTTTAAAAGGAGCAGGCGGGGCCTAGCTGACGCCCGCGTCGGCGTGATGACGTCACAGACGCGCGGTGGCACGCCGGCCCAGCCCCTTCCGCGGGACCTCCGGCCCTGGTGGGCGGGGCTGT